GATCCTACGAGAACGGGATTACAAAGCCAAGCAAGCAACCATGGCGCCGTGGATATCGTCAACGGGGAGAGGGCCTCTGAGATTAACCGGGCGTCTGCCCGACCTCCGCCCCCTCTGGATGCTGTCACTATACATTCTCCACAGCCAGTATCGGTCGATGGAACATCATCAGCTGGTGCTCTTCTTTCGGAAACCGAGGAGTTGGGACTAGCTTGCGCTTTGGAAACTCACGTGTTTCCTCACATGCGTATTTCTTCGTCTTCGAAACGCCGCAACGTAAGACCAGCGCCGGGCGAAACACCTACGATTCGTCTTCGCCTGAAACTAGAACTCCCGAAAACGTCTAGCCCAAACGGCAGGAGGGTCCCGAAACCCGAAGATGCTGCAGCAACAGCAAAGCCAAAACTTGTACGAGCAGCACCGCCAACATCGCCAGCATCGTTTCCAGCAGAAACTCCGTATTCTGCCGCAGCCCTAGACCCAGCAACGACAGAGGGAAACTGGCTTGCGCAAGGAGGTATCTGGAAGCCCCGATTCACCGATGGGTAGGTCGAGTAAACGGCCGCCGCTGCCTTCTCTCATGCACTGCTGCGCCATTTCGAAGGGGTTCTGCAACGCCCGCTAGTGCCGGTGCCGGTAACCGCCCGACAGGGATCGTCGGACGGCACTGGAAGGATGCGGGGGCTCACTCGCACCTAGATAATGCGGCTCGAGTCGGCACCCAACGCGTTCGTGCAATGTTCATGCGTGATCAGGCCACCAAAGATGAGGGTTTTAGCGATGCCACTCTGCACCACTGTCAACAACAGCGTTTGGTTGTAGTGGATACGGTGCCGGCAGCTGAATCACCAGCTCATGCTTTGTCGATTTCGTCAAGCTTTTGGAGCAGTAAGCTTTCGGCGCCCGTCGGGTCGGCGCTTGGCCGCCCTTTATGCCACAACTGCGGCAGGCAGGCTCTTCAGCACCTGCTCGAGAACACAGATTTGTTAGCGCAAAGTACATTTTCGCGAGAAGCGCGGTTGTTGCGACCAGATTGGTACACATGCACCCCCGCTGAAATAAATCGGCTCGGATCCGGAGGGGTTCGGCCGAAAGGGTCTCGACGAGGCAAGAATACCGGGGGGGTTCCGGCAGCTCGAGGGAGATTGGCGGACTGGGCATGCAGCAGCGGTGCAATGTTTTGCGACAGTTGTTTGCGGGCGATGCGGTCGGCGGCACTTCCTCTCGAGCGATTGGTATAAACAAAGTGTTCATCTTGATGTGGGCCTCCTCTCCGTTTGGAACAGGGATGGGGGATCCGTGTGGGCGTAGTTGGACTTTTCCCTCTCTCTACATGATTACGTAGTACATGGTCCGTAGATGAGGAATAAATACTCTCCTAGTCTGTAGGCAACGCTGTAGAAATCAACCAAAATCTAACGATTCAACTGCCAAGTTTGCAAGTTGTCGATGGTAAGGAGGAGCTCTCCCAAGTCTCCGGGGGTGCATGGTAATCATGACTTGATTTATTTTCAATATCGACCGGAATTCACTCCCGGAGTTTTGACTCGGTTTCGCAGGTTGAATAAAAATGAATTCAAAAAGATGTGTGCGTACAGATTGTAGCTTGTGAGAAAGCAGCTTTTTTCAGCTAGGGTCAAAGCCTGTGTAGACTACATGGTCTGAACGAGCACAGACTAACTGCAGCGGTGTGGCGCGGACGATTGTGGACACAACAATGTCTTTTTGCCATGACTTCTTCTACAGACAGCAATTTTACTTTCCTATGAAGATATTTTTCTATGTGAGCGTCCCGGTACTGTACACAATCAAACGTGCTCGTGTCCAAGATGCAAGGGAGTTTCGTAGACTCTTGACTACAGCAGTCTACATACGCGTGGTGCTGATATCTTCTCATCTCCGGGCCTCCCATTATTTGAAATCCATGAGGACCGCTCACTTCGTCTCCGAGTAAACACACACACCTACCTTTGGTTTCTTCTCCTTGCCGTCCAACTCCTGCGTGTACCCTCTCGGTTGTCGGTAGAACTGACCAGAGCACACGTTCGCGTTTTTTTCCCTCCGGGAGTACAGCAAGACTGACTGACATTTTGTTATTTGAGTCAAGCCGGTTAGGGCGGGACAGCGCCGCTCTCAATGCGAACTACTGCTGCTGCTGCTGTTGTACAGGAGTCTAAAGAAACACACATGACACGATCATGACATCAGACATCGAATTATTCATCAGAGTTATTGTGAGAGGGAAGAGATTTGCTGCGCTCTTCTCGCACAATAAGAATTCAGGCATACCACCACCGCAGGAGGGGTGGGTTATTAGGGGGCTCAGGAGAGGCGACAACGAGCCTTGGTTACACTTTGATAGTAACTCTTTAGGACTAACCGATGTTGAACGAAGCAAGGCTAGGTTCTTCACGCGAGCAAGGCTAGGTTGCTCACCCCACATCTACCCTAACCCTCACCCACGGCCAAAGCACGGCCTAGCGGCCGCGACTCGCGATAACGGGTTGCAGGTTGGAGACTCCACTACTGTAGGCGGCACACGACGGGAAAAAAAAAAAATGCCCTCTTTCGCTGGGCGAGCAAGAAAGCACCTCCCTTTATCCAGATACCGATACTAGAGGGTAGGGCAGTGAGATAGTCTGGGCAGCCCCTACGCTAGAGGTAGGCGTGCACGGCTGCCACAGCAGCATTGTACGTATAGAACGGCGGTTACCTTTGTGTGAGGTCAATATTTTGAGAAAACGCCTCCTTCCCTTTTACCTTATACCCGGCCCCGGAGCGGTGGGACACGGCAAAGGGCAAAGCGTACAGTACGAGCATAGAACCAGAGGTACCAGGAGGCACGCGTAGACACTTGCACCCACCTATAGACACTGCACCGCCGTAGAGACGACAGGAGGTTTCACGATTGTTCTTCCAGGAATCGCAGGCGTCATTTTTATTGCGAGCGCAGGTGGCCGTGATTTTTGGCTGCCTCGCGAATCGTGGCGATGGCTGATCCCGCATCCGACTTGTCGGAGACTAGGATGGAGCTTCGAGCCGTCTCACGCAAGCTTTCCTCCTGCGAGCAAGCTCTCGAGGGGCATGGCGCCTACTTGGGCATAAGGGATCCGGTGAGAAAAGAGGGGCTTGTTCTAGGTTTAAGGACAAAAGCAGATGTCAGGCTGGTTGTACCACGGGCTATCAATTGCGGGCTAGACTAGTCTTCTGTACCATCGCCACAGCGAGGTGGCATGTTTTTATTGGCCAGCCGAAGGGAAAGCGGCAGGACGGACAGCTGAGAGGGGGGGGGGGGGGGGGGGGG